GAGATCCCCCCGCTATTTTTAGCCCAGCCAGTACAGAGGCGCCTCCTCAGTAGCCGGGCAGCAGCCTCCATACCATGCCAGCCGGCTCCTAGGGTGCCCTGGGGAGACCCGGGCATCTCCCAGGGTGCAGGGCCGGGGGTTGGGAGGGTAGGAGGCTACAGCCTCCTTCACTGTTTTGAGCCTCCAGTGGGCTGAGCCCACCACCCAGGCCATCCAGGAGGGGGTGGCCCCCTCCACAGTCCCATCAGCTCTGCCCTTTCGCCTAGAATCGGGGCCAAGATCAGGTGGTGATGGAGCCACCTGGGTTTCCGGAGACTCTTAAGCCATCCCAAGTCATGACAAATGCCAGTCACCTTGGACAGAGGCGAGGCCAACCTGCTTGCCGCCCCCAGCCGGGCCCTGCCACCAAGGGTGTGTGATGGGGAGACCCCACTCCCCGGTGCTGGTCGGGCTCAGGAGCTCCCCCTTCCGGGATTTCACGCCTGAATTATGTAACAGACGAGGGCCTGGGACGGGGCCTGATGGGGATCTGTCCTTGCAGGGCCTGGACTCAGAGACCAGAGGCTGGAACTGGCAGACTGTCCTCACAGGCTGTGTGATGCTGGCTGGTCATCCCATCTCTCCGGGGCCCCACAGGACCAGGGACCAGGACATGGAAGGACAGTGGACCACAGTGGTCGGGGGACCCGCCTGTTGGAGGCAGGTGCAGGCCCGTGTGGTGGGGACAATGAGCTTTGCTATTTGCAAGTCCTGTCCAGAGCATAGATCCTCCTGTTCAGAAGCCACCTCATTAATGTCCCCAATACCTCCCCGACTTAGGAAGGCATCCCCTTGTGGTTCCAGCCAGTCAGGGACACAGGGCCGGGGATCCCATGCCGCTTAGAACAGGTTCAGCTGCATCTAATCCCAGGGGACCCTGTGAGGAACCTACATACCCTCCAGGCTGGCCCACAGGAGCTGAGGTGGGTCTCTCCTCCAGGTTTACCTCCTGGGCTCATGGCCCCTTCCCCATATCCCAAGGCCAGCTCTGCAGAGTCATGGGGAGAAGCCGGAGCCCCAGCCACACTCGCCACACACACCAACACCCACTCTGGTGTCCTCCGGCCAGCGACAGCGAGGGACAGAGCGGCGCTCCCTGCACCTGCCCAGTCCAGAGGCTTCTTGGGTGATGACAGGCCCTGCTCCCGGCCCTGCACACCCCACTAAAGACCCCACGTCTCACCATAAAGGAGGCCAGGAGGTTTTAAGCTTCTACCAGGTCCAAGCACTTTTCTGGAAACTAAATAGCCACTCGGCTTCCCACTGGCAGCCGGAGTGCGTGGTGTGAGGGGCGGTGTCCGAACTCCCCCTGCAAGGCCGCTCCCCTGCACCCCACTTCCTCCGGCCTGCCATCTCCAGGCAGAGTTGAGGGGGGCAGGCCAGGCCTGCAGCTGGGGTCAGGGTTATAGACAGCCACAGCGGGGGAGGTGGGGAGCAGTCTGCGGCCTGTGCAGGAGGCTCTGTAAAGGATTCGGGTGCTCCGTGGTGGTGAGAGAGAGGAGGGTGTGCAGCGGACATGGCCATAAATCACCCTCCTCACAGCAGCCCCACACCCAAGGAGCAGGGCATGGGCACAGGGCCATCTCTTCCCAGGAGAAGGGCTGGTGTGGGTGGTCAGACCCTGACGGTCCCTAGGGTCTGCAGGACAGAGTCAGAAGACGGAGCAGTTCCTTTGTTTGCCCACAGCACCAGCCTCACAGTAACAGCCGGCACACAGCCCTTAGGCTGCCTGGTGTTCCAGAAGCTTCTGCAGTGGCTATGCGGGGACTACGCTGAGCTCAAGGCACCCATAAGAGGAGGGCATTTTGCTGTCCCCACTTTACCAAGAAGGAACTGGGGCTTGGGGTGGGTGCTCACTAGCCCAAGGTCCCACACCCAGCATCGATTGGAGCTGGGTGTGTTCCGGCCAGTGTGGTCCCCACCTTGTCCTAGAACTGCCCTTGCCAGGGCCCAGGGCCATGCTGCCCGAGGCCCACTCCACCATGGTTTGAAAGGGAGACCGCAGTGGGTGGGAGAGACAGGAGGGAGGGGAGAGGGGAGAGAAGGGGGAGACAGGGTAGAGGGGGCAGAAGGGGAAGAGAGGGGAGAGAGGCCTAGGCCCCCGAGACTTTCCCCTTGGTGTCCACAGGTGGTTTAAGGCGTGAATGAATGAAGGAGCAAGCAGTAAACCCCGACAACAAGGCCACCACAGCCCTCACCCGACTGAGACGCCCGAGCAAGGACCCAAGCAGGGGACGAGCAGGCTTACCCCCCACTCGCCAGGCTGACCATGAGGCCCCATCCGGTGGAACGCGCCATGACAGCGAATGCCCTGCCCCATCCCACGCGGCTCCCGCTGGCCACGAGTGGCTGCCAAGCTCTCAGAAACAGGGCTGGTGCCCTGCGGACCTGGATGTTTTACTCAGTGCAGCTGTGATTTGTGTCAGCTTCAGAAGGCTCATGTAGCTGGGGCTGTATCAGTCAGCAGGGGGGAGAGAAAATGCACAGCCCAGGGAATGTGGAGACAGGCCCAGCCCTGGGCACGGGGGCCGGAAGGAGCAACTGGGGATCAGCGAGCAGGGCCTGGGGCGGCCTTGCAGGTCAGAGGTCAGGGAAGGCCTGAGTGGGGGTGAATGAACAGGTCCCCCAGTGATATTGGAGGGGCAGCGGGGAAGGGTCTCGGAAGAGCATCCCAGGGAGTGTGCACAGGGTGACAGAGGCCTGGAGGCGGGAAGGGGGGCCTGGTGTGTCCAGTGGGCAGAGCCGCTGGACACAGGAGGCCAGCATGGCTGCTGCCGGGGCAGTGGCGGTGGATGGGTGGCCTGGGGCTGAGCTGCGGGCAGGGTCAGACCACGCCAGCCTTGTGCCAGGGCTGCAGGTGTCCTGCTGAGGGGCACAGGCCTGGACAGTCTGGCACGTCTGTGGCAGGGCCCCTGTGGCTGCTCTGCTGAGGGTGAGGGTGGAGGGCAGAGGTTGGAGCATCAGGAGGCCCTGCCCAGCCACAGTGCCCTGGGGAGGGCTGCCCAGTCCTGGCTGTGCCTTGAAAGTTTTCCCGAAAGATCCACTGTTGGAGCAGATGTGGTCACAAGAGCAAGGGGGATGTCAGATGGTCTGGGCCCTGGGGAAACAGGGTGCATCCCCTGGGAGGGGGACGGCCTGTCACCAGGGCGCCTTCCGAGACCATTTTGCAGGTGATGAAACTGAGACTCAGGAGGAAAATCCAGTTGCCCAGCATGCAAAGACCCAGAGCCTATCTTCCTGCCCCTACATCCCTGTCCGTCCCAGATCTGAACCTGCCCCAGCCCCAGGACTCTTAAGTGCATCCAGAGGGGAGCCAGGCTGGAGAGTGGGGAGCACAGAGACTGTGGCCTGGATGGTGCCAGAGCGAACGGGAGAAAGGCTCCCCCACGCAGAGGCTGCGGCACAGCCCAGAGGGTCCTGGGGTTGGCTGGGCGGGGGCAGCTCCCAGCGAGAGGCCCCTGGGATTTGGGTAAGTGGAGGCACATGCAGACTCTGGCCACAGGGCACCTCGCACACGAGGGGAGTTCACCACACAATTTGAGTGGAGGGCGGGCGCAGGAGAGCAGCGGTGTCCCAGAAGCCAAGGGTGGTCATGGAGCCCCACGCCACAGCGCTTCCTACAGGGCCACACCATCCGGTCTCTGGAGGGGGCTGCATTGCTGGGAGGGACCCACCTGATCCTGGATTCCAGCCTCACCCTGGGTCACCGCTGAGTGTCCCAAGTGGCCCCTTATCCCCCAGGGCCGGGCGGCGTCCCAACCCCCTTGGGATGTCTGTGCTCAGAGTGTGGCAGACACGCCCCGGCAGGGACATCCTCCTCCCCTGCACCCGCCACAGCCGTGGGTTCAGGGTCTCTATCGTGGTCAGAGATTCACACAGTCAAGGTGAGGGTCCCAGGGGCACCTGTGACCAGGCCCTGGCTGCCACGGAGAGGGGGACCCTTAACCAGCGGGGCAGACAACCTGAGATGGACCCTCGTCCAGGGGAGGGCCCCGCCACCCACAACTCCTTGGCATTCCTGCACCAGCAGGACGGGCTGGAGGAGGTGGCCGCAGGGCGCCTCGCCGGTGTCAGTGCCCAGCATCACTGTGCCCCGGTGGAGGGGGAGGCCGCTCCGAGCCTGGGCCTGGATGTGAATGAGGGCAGATTTCCATCTCTCTGACCTCAGCTTCCTCAACTGGGAAGGGGAGCCGCAGCACCTGCTTGGGGTGATGAGGAAGGGGGAGGTCAGGGAGAGCCCTGGGCAGGGCTGCCTCCTCACCTTCCTTCAGCCTTTGGACATGAGCGCAGAGGACCAAGTGAATGAATGAATGACTCAGTCAATCAACTGATCCATCAATCCATGGATCTCTGGACAGTCGGACAGCTGGGCAGCGGGCAGGATGGGGGACTCTCGCTGAAGCCGCATTCATATGTGTTCAGCTTTGTGAGTGGGGCGAGGCTGAGGGCTTATTCAGTGGGGGAGGTGCACGGCAGGCCCAGTGCCTTTGGAGGGTCAGGCCCCAGAGGGCGGGACACCTGCCAGGATGCCCAACCCCAGAGGTGGTGGCAGCCATGGTCCCACTCGGCAGTGGCTGTGATGAGGGCTGTTCCCACTTTGTCCACACGATTCCAGCCGCAGCTGCCCCACACATGAGCTGTCCTTAGTCACCCAGCACGGCCGGACGAAGCCCCCTGCAGCCAAGGTGCTCCGTGGGGCGGGTTTCTCGAAGCTAGTATTTTCCATGGTATCTTACGTCCCAGCAGAGGCCCACCACTGTGCCCGGACCAGCAGCCCACTCGGTGAGTCGAACGTGCACCTGGCACCCCTCTTTTTGGAAATCCACGAACACTGGGCTCCCAGCAGAGACTGAGGCTGAGCAGGCCACTTCCCTGGAGCTGACTCCACAGCTGTGTAGGTACAGGGTGGCCGTGAACACTTAGGGCTTTCTCAGGCTGTGCACTTCTTGTTCACTGCAGGGAGCAGGGTGTTGGCTCCTGACCAAGCCCTGTCACTGCTGCCCAGCCACACATGGGGCCCCTTCACCCACCCCTGACCACCTTATGCAGGGAAGCCACTGTGGAAACAGTCTGGCAGTCCCTCGAAAAATGAAGTCATCAACCCCAGCAATTCCACTCCTGGGCCTATGACAGAGCTTGCACGTCCCCTCCAAAGCTCATGTTTAGATGTGAGCCCCAGTGCTGGAGGTGGAGCCTGGTGTGTTTGGGTCCTGGGGGGGATCCTTCATGGATGGGTGCCGTGCACCCACTCACCACAGTGAGTTCTCACGAGATCTTGTTGTTGAAAAGTGTGTTGTACCTCCCTCACAGTTCTCTGTCTTTTGTTCCGGCTCTGGCCATGCAACAAGCCTGCTCCTCTTTCACCTTCTGCCATGACTGTAAGCTTCCTGAGGGCTGACCAGAAGCCCAGCAGATGCCAGCACCATGCTTCCTATACAGCCTGCAGAACTGCAAGCCAACTAAACCTCTTCTCATGAATTACTCAGCTTCAGATTTATCTTTATAGCAATGCAAGACCTGACTATTACAACACATGCTCCCCAAAATAAAAAGAAATATTCAAACAAATAGGCACACAGGAGTCTTCCCAGTGGCACTATTCACAGCAGACAAAAGGTGGCGGTAGCCACAGGCCTGTCAGCTGATGATAGATAAAGAAAGCATGGCCTGTCATCCCAGCATTTTAGGAGGCCGAGGCGGGCAGATCACCTGAGGTCAGGAGTTCAAGACCAGCCTGGCCAACATGGTGAAACCCCGTCTCCACTAAAAATATAAAACTTAGCCAGGTGTGGTGATGAGTGCCTGTAGTACCAGCTACTCGGGAGGCTGAGGCAGGAGAATTGCTTGAACCCAGGAGGCAGAGGTTGCAGTGAGCTGAGATCATGCCATTGCACTGCAGCCTGGGTAACAGAGTGAGACTCTGTCTCTAAATAAATGAATAAATAAATGAAGTGCGGCATATCCATGCAGGGGAATAGCATTCAGCCCTAAAAAGGGATGATGTGGGGACACGGGCGGTAACATGAAGTGCCTGAAAACCCTGCTCGGCGGGAGAAGCAGACTCAGAGACCGCCAGTTGCACAATTCCGCTGATAGGAGATGCACAGAGCGGCAGCTCCATGGAGACAGAAAGCAGATTCCGCGGTGCGGGGGTGGGGAGAGGAATAGGAGTGACTGCCTAATGGGCTCCAGAGCTCCTCAGGGGGTGACAAAAGTGTCTGGGGAGTAGACAGAGGTGGTGGCTGCACAGTGTGGCAAATGCACTAAATGCCACTGAACCACACTCTTTAAAGTGGTCATTTTATGTCACGTGCATTTCACCTGTTTTTTTTTAAAAAAAAAAAAAAAAAACCCGTTCAGAGTCCAGCCCCAACCCTCTCTCAGTGACCTCTGCCCTGGGACACAGGGCCACCCAGACCGTGAGCTTGGGTCCCCTCAGGCTGCCCACTGAGGAGGGGCAGCTACTGCTGAGGTCTGACCTTGCCTCTCCTGATGCCCCAGCCACACTTGGGAGAGAGGAAGGGTGGGGGGTGGCTGCCCTTCTGGCCAAAGACACCGTCCCAGGGCCAGTCACAGGTTTGCCAGGAAGGGCCGTAAGAGACCTCAGCATTAGCACTGCCCAAGCCCGTCTGCTGCTGGCATATTCCCTGTGTGGGGACAGAGTAATGCCCACTACCCCTAAGGATGTCCAAGAATCCGTGGCCATGCCACCTTATGTGGCAGCAGGGACTCTGCAGGAGGGACGGAGCCGGATGCTGTGTGTGGGCCCAGTGTCCTCACAGGGTCCTTATGAGAGGGGGTGGGAGGGTCAGAGTCAGGGGGAGCCTGGAAGACACAGCACAGCTGGATTTAAGGTGGAGGAGGGGCCACGGGTGAAGGGGCGCAGCAGCCTCCAGGTCCCGGAGGGAGCAGTACCCGAATTCTCCCCAGGGCCTCCAGCAGCCAGCCCTGCCAACACCTGGACTTTAGATTTCTTTCCCTTTCGGAGCTGCAAGACAATAAACTGTGGCTTTTGTTACAGCAGCCATGGGAGACTCATGACCTCGCCTGTCCCTCACACATCTTTCTGGGAGACCCTCCCAGCCCAGACGAGCATCGGTGGTGGGGCGGGGGGCGAGCAGAGCTCCCCTGGGAGACTCTCTGTCGCTGGCGTGGAGGAGGGGCCTCCCTACGGCCTCCGGAGGCCCCTGCTCCCTGTGCTCTGCAATTCCTGGCCAGCTCCTGTCCAGCAGGCACCATCACTGTGCCCCCGAGAGCTGTGCAGGGCTGCTCCGGGCCAGGGAAGACTGCTATGGGGAGACATTGGCCAGAATGAAGGGGCAGACGTGGAAGGGGGCTCAGTGCAGCTCTCAGGGGAGTCCGGGCAACTGGAGGATGCCGCTGCCCAGCCTCCAGGGGCTGTGCCCAAGGACCGGCCCCTCTGCTGGCCTGTCTGGCCATTGGGGGCTGGATCCACAAGCAGGCGGGGCTGGATCCACAGTCAGGCAGGGCTGGGCGGGCGGGACCTGTCCAGGGACAGGGAGCGCAGGGTGGGGCTGCAGACTGTGGTCCCTAGGCTGGCCCTGACCCCCCTCTGCCAAGGCCTCGCTAAAGCATCTGGAGCTCTGTTCAGCACTGCTCACATGCGGCAACACGGAAGGGCCTGAGTGAGAGAAGCAGACACGGAGACCGCAGGCTGCAGGATTCCACTTACAGGAAATGCACAGAGCCGGCAGCTCCACGGAGACGGAAAGTGCCCAGGGAGTGTCCAGGCTCCTACCGATGGGCAGCTCCTCCCTGCCTGGCCTTTCACTGAGGCACATCAGGGGCCCGAGGGCGCTCCTAAGAGTGATGTCGACAGTGGCTTCTGTGTCCATCAGATGGAGAGTGCGTCCAGCCTGCAGGACTTCTCAGAGCCTTTAAGAGGTCCCCGTGGACTCGTCCAAGCTCCCAGCAGGAGACGTGGCCTGCAGTGCTCTGCCACCGTCCCCTCTGCCTGCCCCACACCCCAGAACACAGTTCACACAAGCATGAGGTGTCCTGCGGAGCTCCCAGGAGGCTGTGCACACCTGTGTGCCCCACAGAGCAGAGCTGTGTTTGAAGTGCCCGTGGGCACCCGGCATGTCCCACAACACTGCGAAAGGAACAGGACCTCACCATCCTCCCGCATCGTGCCTGGGAGGCCACCTCCTGCCCAACCTCAGGGTACACAGGTGCACACGGAGCCAAACAAATGTGCACGCACTACCTAAGTGGCAGTGGGCAAAGCCTCTCTGATAGCTCATGAAGAAAGTTCTATTTCATTGTCATGATGTTAGGGGAGAGCAATTTGCTTCCAGCCATGAACATCCCGTTCAGAATGGCGACAGCTTTGCCATCTTGGACTCAGGACACTTCTTGAGGCCCACGTAGCACTGCTTGGAGCCTCCAGCACGGGTCACTCAAAGGCTCTGGGTCAGCCCTGGGCGGCCTCCGGTACACCTACAGCATCCATGAGTCCAACCAACCCAGAACCCCCGGGATACGGGGAGGACCCCGAGGGGCAAAGGACGTAAAACAGGGCCCTGGGGGCCCAGGCTGACCTCTGAGTTCCCCGGGCACCCCCGCCAGGACTCCGAAGGCTGGCTCCTCCTGCGGCATCCCTCTGCTCTCTGCCCCAGCTCAGTGTGGGCGTGGGTGTTGGGTGGGGGTGATAAGGGTTTCTCTCTGTCTGCCTGCTTCTCCTCTGTGGAGGACTCACACTGACCCATCCTAGAAGCAAATAAATGTCATTTCAAGTCAACAGAAGTGGGCAGCCTGGGCTCCTCTGAGCTGCCCACCCAAGCCCCTTGGAGCTGCAACTTTGCTCATCTTTGCAGGGGGTGAGTGGAAGAGCAAGGTCAGGGTTGAGGAGCAGTGCTGGGACTGAGAGAGGAGCCCCCTCCATGGACATACCCATGGTGGGGACCCTCCCCAGCCCAGCACTGCTGGACAGTCAGGAATGGTGCCCAGCCCCCAGCCACTCAGGGCCGGTCCTGCAGGGGACAAGGACCACAGGCAGGGAAGGGAGCTGGCGGGTCCCTCACCCCAGGAAGTCCACTGGCTCTTGCAGAGGTATTTTCTGGGTTGAGACAGATTTCCATTTCCAGGGAGAAAGGAGGGCCTGATCCTAGCCACCCACTTCTGTTCCCTGTGTCCTGGGCCACAGCGATGCTGTCAGCAAAGCCCCACGGCTCAGAGGGTACCTCATCCCTGCAGATTTCACCAGCATCTCTCACAGCTGCCTCCAGCTCCAGAACCAAACAACGCCTGGCCCCACCCTGCGTGCCTATACCCTGCCCCTCTCCCCACTCTGGGCACCTATTCCCTATCCCTCTCCCCACCCTGCGTGCCTATTCCCTGCCCCTCTCCCCACTCTGGGCACCTATTCCCTATCTCTATCCCAGGGCCTCCACAGAAGGAGGTGGCTGGGGGAGAGCTCAGAGCTTCTGCTCTCCAGGGTGGACAGCAGGGGTCTTGGGCTGTCCTGTCCAAGCCACCCAGATGGATGCCCACACTGGGTCTTGCCTCCTTGTCATCCGCCCTACCCGAAGCTTGTAACTCAGCTCCCAGCAGAGGAGGCCCGATGGCAGAGACGGAATTCTCAGCTCCCGGCACAGGAGGCCCAATGGCAGTGGCCAAATTCTCAGATTCTCACTTTGCCCTTAGCCTTGGCCTCCCACCTCCTCCCTAGGGCCCTATTTCTAAGAACCTCCCCCGCCCCTGATGCCCTTGGTCATAGCACTAGGCTGTGATCTGCTAGGGTTAGGGAGTTCCTTCTGGGTCTCCGCCTTGCACCCGGAGCCCAACCCTGAGCCCAGGGATGAAGGGAAAAGCTTTAATCTCCTGTGCACATCCTCTGGGAGCCGAGGAGTGTTGATCCGGCAGGATCTCAGCCACAATTAGCCGGTTCCCTCATCCCTGCCCTATAAATATTCATTCTGGGATTCTTATAAAGGTGCTTTTTATAAAAAACGCCAAACTCATTTGGAAAGGAGCTGAACGCTGCGCAGTGCAGGCTGCCAAGCTGAGTCCTCCTGCGGATGGGACGCCAACATGGCTTTTTCTCGTGGGCCCAGGCAGGTGCTCTCTGGGGTTTTGTTTCATTTGAGCCGGGGACTTTTTGGTTCCCTGCGTGTAGCATTTACAAATATGGCAGCAGGCTCGGGGTACCCAAAGCGGGCGTGTCCTCCTCCTCAGGGGTGCAGGCCACGATGGGCCCCTGGAGCTGGCAGCCCCGGGCAGGGTGTGACGATGGTCCATGGGGAATGTGCCTCGGGGCCGCTCACTGAGAAGCAGCCCTTACCCCCAGGGCCCTGTGCTCCCACCAGCTTGGTCCAGAGTCATCCTGGTGCCAGCCTCCACCAGCCCTGTTGAGAATCAGGTGATCGTGACCCCTGGGCGGTCAGTGGATCTGGGACTGAGCTGGAGGTCATCCGGTCCGGCGGCCCTCCTGTCACTGACGCTGGGTGCTTTGGTTAAATGCTTGTGCAGATGGGAGTTCACTACCCCAGAGCAGCTGTAGGAGGATTCAGTGAAGTCCCTACCCTAGAACCTCTAAATAGAGGGTCTGGCGGTATACCCAGGAATCTGCATGTTCACAAGCTTCAGTGGGGGGTGGTTCCCATTGTTGCTGCTTTTAGGGATTCTGAGACGGTGACCACAAAGCTACTTGACAGATTAAAACATGTGCCACACATGGGGGAGGTTGCAGTTCTGGCCCCCAGACCTGGGCTCAAATGGTCAGTTCTGGAAGAACCGCCTCCCACCCTCCTCCTCCTCCTCCAGCCCTCGCTCCTTGGGCACAGCGGGAATGAGAACTCTCAGGCAGTTTCCTGATGTGAACCCCATTCCTGAGCCCAGGGAGGCTTTGGGCTCCATGGCAGATGCAGCCCCCACCCCACCTGGGAGCCCCAGGAGCCCTTGGCACAGTGCAGCGACCTCACCCAGGAGCCCAGCCAGGTACGGCTGCCTCTCAGCACAGCTCGCCTTGTGTCCCAGTGCTGCAGGCGCCTCCTGGCTCTGCTGAGCCAGGCTCCAGCCAGTTCCGGGACGGGATGTTCAGGAGGCAAGGAAGCTGCCGTTCCTGCTTTATGATCTAACCCCCACGTTCTGCAGCTGGCGGGTACCCACGACGGGCTGGAGGTAGTAGGGAGGCTTGGGTGACCCTTTCTCCCCTCCAGGGTCAGGGCCCTGTGGGCCGAGTGTCCCTTAAGAAGAGGCCTGGCGGCTGGGATGTCGGGGTGCTGCCCTGAGCAGGGAGGCCTCAGGCAGCTGCGTTTGGCTGCAGCTCAAGCCGGCCAGGGTTTCTTCGCTCACAGTTATTTGGCTGCAGCTCCCCCACTTCCCCTACCCCCCAGCACCCCCACGGGCCCCTGCCCTGGCTGAATTGCTAATCATCCCAAGAAACAGAAACTCTCAGGGGCTCCTCTGGTCCCTGGAGGACACGTGGCCTCCTGACAGCACCAACCTCCCTTCCCCGCTTCGCTTTCGCAGGGAACCTCCCTCCCCGAAGGGCGCCCGTTGAACAGATGGAGCCGTCCGCCCTGACAAATGGCTCCCGCTCCTCGTAAAACTCCCAAGGAAGTCAAATTTGAGCTCTTCAAACCTTGGAGGGCTGCCTTGAATTTATGATGGGACCTGATAAATGATTGAATTGGAGTCCTCAGGTAGCTTAACAGGGACAGCCGGCCTCTCACGGCACTTTTCCCGTGGATCCGGGGCCTCAACGACCGGGGGCAAGGCTCCCACCAGAAATGCTCCCGCCATGAGCATGGGCTGGGCGAGGCTGCCCACAGTGGGGCAGGGGTGCGGGCTGGGCCTGGGCAGGGTTCATGGGGCAAAGCTTCTGTCCCCTTAGCCCAGCATCTCAGGCATTTGCTGAGGGGGTGTCCATCTCAGGGGCCTCCCGGCTCTCCCTGAGTCTCCCGACTTCCTTTGAAAGCCAAAGCCTGTGGAGGCAGAATCAGCCAATTCCAGCCCTGGGGTGCATCCCGCTGCCATCTCTCCCCGAGTGAGGGCAGGGCCAGC